GAATTTACGTGTGCATGAACAGTGCACATTTTCGGGGTTAGGGTTTCACGACGATTCAGAGGGTTCTAGGTTCTAAAATTAGTACCATTCAACTCAGGAGGTTGAAGGGATGAAGAACCATACCTTTTTGGCGTCGATCCGTGGAGGTTTGGAGGGTTTTGGTCTCGTCTGTACAATTCGAGAGTGAGGGAGAGAGGAAGCCGTGGGGAGGAGAGAGAGACACGGGGGGAGGGAGAGAGAAGGGTAGGTTGTGTATGATGCAAAATAACCCCTACCACACAAACATACATATCCATTTTAGTCCACATAAAACATTTCCTAAAAACTTATGGATTATGTATATACTTAGATCAAATAATATGTCACATACACATACCTCAACACCCGCTAGGGCAATTCCGTCATTTCACGTCCATGATAATTAAAATTCCGAGACGGGCTGTGCATTAGTGGTACATAAGAAAATATGGAAAAATATAAGTGTACTGAAATGTTCATATCTAAATACATTGTAATGAATTAGTGACACATAATAAAATATGGAAAAACATAAGTGTACCGAAAAATCTCTACGAAAATATTTTCTTATATAATATACTTACCATAATGAGAATTATAAATTATAAATAAAACAGAGAGACATTGAATATTACATATGCTAACATTAAATAGAGTCTAGAAACTAAAATCAAATTTTAATCTTGTATAAGACATTTTTCTTAATTTTATCTTATTTAAGGATTAAAATATAGTTTTCTATAAAATGAATCATGTTACATCCTGCAATATATAATTAATATTGTGCGCATCCAAAAATATCTATAAAATGAATCACTTTGAATGCATGGTTAGCTTTACAAGAACGTTTATGTTGATGATCAGTGGCTTATAATCTGGTTCACGAGACCTCATGCCCATGATTAGTGGAACAAAAGCTACTCTGTTTGTGACAGAGATAGCAGCCTCGGTGACATTTTTATTAGTAGGAGTGACAACTAATTGTTTGTTATGTGTGCAAAGCACGAGAAAATAAAACACTAACCTTAAATTAAAAACTAAATTAATTAATATTCACGTACTATGAATAAATTGTGTGTATACATAGTAAATCCTACTACATGGACGAACTTCAACTCAAGTAATTAACAAGAGATAAATAAGTGTAACGATAAATAAATTGAGTTAAGGAGTATATATACACATAATTAGAACTTGTATTAAAAAGATAAATAAGCGTGGCGATGAGTCACATATGCAAACGACGACTTGACTTCAAGTCTTCAAGTGATAGCGATCACCTGATTTTATCTGCTCAAAGTACTACGTTCACATTCTTTAAGATCAAACGAGCGCACAGATAAAATTAAATGATCGAGTTTGCAATTATTACATGCAAATGATGACTGAATTCCAAGTCTTCAATTGATCGAGACATCAATTCACCACCCACTCATCGATTGACTCATACTTTATTTATTTATTTATGCTTTGCATGAGTTGTGTCTATAAAAGGAGTTAACTTCTCCACTCTTAATTATCCGAGAGCCATAAAACAATATTTCCAATAACTAGAAAAACACACTGCCATGAAAATGGATTCTTTGTTGTCCAAGTTTACCTGTTTGCATTGTCTTCTTTTGCTATTACTCAATGCTACTCACTGTTTTTCATTTGTGCAGACTCAGACACGGACACTTTGCCACACTGACGAGCATTCCTTCTTGTTACAATTCAAGGAAAGCTTTACGATAGACAAGTCAGCTTCTGGATCTCCTTTTGCTTATCCAAAGGTTGCATCTTGGGCTCGAGAAGGAGATCAAAATCAGAGTAACTGTTGTTCGTGGGATGGTGTTGAGTGCCATGCGGAGTCTGGCCGTGTCATTGGCCTTGACCTCAAGAGTAGCTGTCTCTATGGTTCTATCAATTCCAACATCACCCTCTTCCGACTTGTTCACTTGCAGAAGCTTGACCTCTCAGATAACAACTTCAATTCCTCTAAAATACCATCGAGATTGGGCCATGACCTTTCGAGTCTATCCTATCTCAACCTTTCAAGGTCTGCATTTTCTGGCCAAATTCCATCTGAAATTTCAAAGCTATCCAAACTGTCTACCCTTGTTCTGTCTTACAATAATGGTTTGGAGCTTAGGAAGTCCATCATGAGAATCCTAGTCCAAAACTTGACCAGCAAAACAACTTCATCTTAGTGATGTAGGCATATACTCCACTGTGCCTGATATCTTGGTCAACGCATCTTCTCTCACATCTCTCAATCTAAGCTCTTGTGGGTTGTATGGGGAATTCCCAGTAGGCATTTTCCACCTACCAAATTTAGAGGAGCTTAGATTGTACTCGAACACAGACCTAAATGGTTATTTTCCTACTTTTAACAGGACCAATTCCTTCAAAACATTAGATGTTTCAGAGACAAATTTCTCTGGTAAACTTCCTAGTTCTATCGGAAACCTTCATTCCTTAAATTACTTTGATATCTCATACTGTGGTTTTGATTCCCATGTTCCATCTTCATTTGGAAACCTTACCCAGCTCAATTTCCTTAAGATGGATTCATTTCATGACGTTTCCGCAGGCCAATTCTTAGTTCCTGATTCCTTGTCTTGTTTTGGAAAATTAACCAAGCTCAACCACTTGCGTCTTTCGCATATTAACTTACAAGGGAATTTCCCACGTTTTGTGGCTAACCTCACCCAACTTGTGTTTCTAGACTTGTTTGTCAATTCAATAACTGGTGAAATCCCATCTTGGCTCACATTAGAGTTGACCCAATTAACTTTTCTGCGGCTCACCTATAACGATTTGCAAGGAGCAATTCCTAAGTCGCTTTTCCACCTCAGAAATCTTGAACGTCTTGGCCTTTCCAATAATAATTTGAGTGGATTAGTTGAGTTTGATGAGTTTTCCAACCTCAAAAAGTTGAAGGTACTTGGTTTAGGGGGCAACAAGTTATCTGTGCGTGTCAAATCTAGTTCGAGTGCTACTCTTCCAAAGTTCGAATTTCTAGAGTTGGCTGAATGCAACTTGACAGAGTTTCCAGAATTTTTGAAAAATCAATACGAATTGGGATCCCTAGGCCTTTCTGGTAACAACATTCATGGCCAAATACCAAAATGGCTTTGGAATGGAACTAGAGAAACTCTGGTCAATCTCGACCTCTCTTCAAACTTCTTAACAGGCTTTGAGGAAAATCCAGTCACTCTTCCATGGAAAAATCTGCAGATTTTTAGTCTTGGGACCAATCGGTTACGAGGGTCATTGCCAATTCCACCACAATCTATCACGTCCTACGTTGTCGGCAACAATAATTATAGTGGAGAAGTTTCACCATTGTTCTGCAACTTGAATTATCTTCAAGTTCTTAATTTGGCCAACAACAGCCTGAGTGGCATGCTTCCACGGTGTTTGGGGAAGTCCAGTAGCTTGGAAATGCTGATCTTGACTTATAATTCTTTCCATGGCGATATTCCCCCATTTTGTGCTAACAAAAATAGTTTGAAATTGGTTTCGTTGGGTTACAATTTGTTACAGGGGAAGCTATCGAGATCAATGGCCGATTGCACTCAGTTAGAGTTTCTTAACATTGGCAACAATCAGATCAGTGACATCTTCCCTTCTTGGTTAGGGGTACTTCCAGTATTAAGGGGTCTCATTTTGGGGTCGAATGCATTTCATGGGATAATTGGGAAGCCTCCAACTAATCATGAGTTCCCAAACTTGTGCATAATTGATTTATCCAACAATCTGTTTTCAGGTATGTTGCCTTCTAAGTACATAGAGAACTGGAATTTCATGAAATATGTTGTCGCAAACAAGGGAAGCCGATACTTTCTAGTCTCACTGAACAGCAGCACAAATAAATATGGAAATTACATTGTAGATTCATATAATATGATAATTCCAGTAAAAGGTGTTAAGTTGACATATGATTATACCCCTTATGATATGAGACTTATAGATTTCTCAAGTAATAGATTTGAAGGAGAGATTCCAGAGGGTATCATTGGGAGTCTAAGAGAACTTCAGTTGCTAAACCTCTCCAACAACGCTCTCTCTGGTCACATCCCTTCATCTCTAGGGAACTTAACTGCTCTTGAATCGTTGGATCTCTCTCAAAACAAGCTCTCAGGAATGATCCCCGGTAGCTTGGCACAACTCACTTTCCTTGAGTATTTCAATGTGTCGCATAACCACCTTTGGGGGCAAATACCACTTGGCCAACAATTTGGTACATTCCTAGAAGATTCATACCAAGGAAACTTAGGTCTGTGTGGAAAGCCTTTGTCCAAGAAATGCGAGGGTTCTGAAAGCTCAAGGCTGCCGCCACCATCAAGCTTTGAAGAAGATGAAGAGACTGGATTTACATTTGAGTTTGACTGGTACGTAGTTTTGCCGGGAGTTGTTAGCGGACTAGTAGTGGGAGTGGTTGCTGGAAACACGTTGGCAGACAAGAAGCATGAATGGTTTGTGGAGACATTCAGGAGGAAGAGGAAGTCAACAACTGCACGGGTGACGAGGGGACGCCGAACTTAGCTTGATGTATCTACCGGCTAGAGAAATGTTTGGGCCTTCAAGGCCAACGTCTTGTTTTTTTATGATTTTTGGTGCCTCAGCATTTGTTATGTTGTATTACAATAATGGGGCTCTATAAGTTTGCTTTGTATAACATTTCTACTCGAGATCAAATTCAATGTTTTCAACTAAGTAGTTGGAATTACGTTTCCCGTTTCCATTTGCTTCTAGGTCAAAACTAGCAAAAGTGCCGCGCTCCGCTGCGGGTTTTAAATTCATAGTTTATAGCAAATTTGCGTCATTTCCCAAAAAAAGAGAGAAAGCTTGAAAAACAGTACAAAATAATCGATTGATACTCAAAAGCTATCAACAGCTTAATTGCATTCACAAACACATATATTTATCACTATACACATAATAAATACTTCTGAAAATTCCATAAAATCACAAATCAACCCATTTGTTTCTAAATATTTCAAAAATTAACAGAACAGCTAAACCAACCTGGTAAAATCAATCTTTAAGTTACATTACATTTTATTTACTTTACATCAAGAGCATATGTGCAATCAAAATGGGAGATTTCTAAGTTACAGTTATATACATTTTCCCACATTGATTAGTCGTTCATTCTGCACCTGCATTTTACTAATTCTACGTTAAGAGTTCTATGTACAACTCAAACAAACAGATTTTAACAACTAAAAGGACGGACAGTAACATCTTTGAAAATCTTCCGAAGGGAAACCGCTTAGAAACATATATCATAATCTTCGGTTGAGAAAGTCAGTTTGTTTTATGGGGTTTTCACTATTTTCAAAATCAATATCAAATTGTGTAAGGAAGAGAAAAGAATTTACCTTTGGGAAAGTCTGAACGGTAGCGACGGTTGGTAGAATCGAAGAGAATTTAGTAGATGAGGTGACGAGGAAGACGGGGAGAGTAGAGGCAAGCAGCACGGTGAGAAAAACGATGTGGGAACTGGGAAGTATCTAGAGAAACGGTGGGTCGACAAATTGAAGGGGCAGGGCCATTTTGGCCATTTCACTATGCAGCAAAAAAATAACACTGAAAAATAATAGTTAAATAGGGGCTTTTCTGTCCTTTCGTTGTACTTAAGAACAATGTTTTTCTTATTGAGCTTTAGTATAGATAACTAGCAACGGTGCCCGCGCGATGCTGCTGGTTTAAAACTGTATAAAATATGTAGAAAGTTATAAATACACACGATATGCAATACTATTTACATATATGTGGAAATCTATTTACAACTATATGGATTGGCGGTTCTATCACCATTGTTAATATTCATATCTTTTACAAATTGATGTCCTAACTTTCTTTAACTAAAAGAAAAGATAAAAGTTTATTTCTTACCGAAATCTACCAATTTGAATCAAATCTACCAAAGAAGCATAGATTGTAGCATGCCTTGTCATTTCTGCAAACTGGACACTTGTAATAGCAATAGTGATATAATTTCTTTCAAGCCATCGGAAAACCCAAATTTTGAACAGAACTTGCTCCCCCCTCATCTGACAAAATAAAAAAAAGTCATGTTTGTCTTTTAGAACCTCTAATCACATGACACTCCAATCACAAGACACAAAACCATATAGAACAGAAATTAGAGAAAATGAAACTGAACACATTAACTCTTGACAAAAACTTATTACCCATTCTTAAAATCACCGAAAATACAAATCACCAATGAAGAAATGAGGAAACAAATCAGTAACCTAACTTATATAGCATTAGGATGAACCATGTGTAAGTACCACTTTATGTCTCCATGATGGCAAAAAGTTACACTTTCTTTGTGTGCTAATCTATTGTTGGTGGCCATCTCGTAGGAATTGGAGGATAATCTTGTTGAAAGAGATGTGAGACAGGTGAACAAGTTTTTTCAGAGCCACTAAAACATGACTATTTCCTTTAGCTTCATATATTTAATGTGGATTCTTCTGGATGCTATTTTTGTAGGTGTTAAAAACTGTTAAGAAGGATGTGTTAAAGGGGTGTAAAATTTTTTTCAGCCACGAATTTCCTTCGAATGTCGATGCTGAGAATCAACCTCTCTGGAAGATGGCAGAGCAGTTGGGAGCCTCTTGTTCGACACAAGTGGACCCATCGGTGACACATGTGGTTTCAAGAGATGCTGGCATAGAGAAGTCTAAATGGGCGGTCAAAGAAAAGAAGTTTTTAGTTGATAAACAGTGGATTGAAGTTGCAAATTATATGTGGCAAAAGCAAGCTGAAGAGAAGTTCCCAATCAAGCAAATGAAAGCCACATGATCTGTTCTTACAGCAGCACTAACTTCATCCTTTTTGTGCATAGTTTGAGATACTAATCACTCCTCTCATTTTGTTCAGTGTTATCCTTACACCACTGGTCTCGTATTTAAGGTGGAACTTAATTTTGAATAGTTCATTACTTTTAAACAGAAGGCGATTGCTGACTAGGTGAAGGAAAATTTGATAGCGGATTGAATTTTTGATGTTTGTCTTGGAAGTAGGATACCGAACTTGTATGTAAGATATGGTTGTAGATTTATGACAAAGGAGAAGATGTTCTGGATGCATCAAGTGTCAAATTTGCTTGATGATTGCAGCTCTTTTAATTGCTTTATTTGTTTCTCTCTTTGCGGAATGATGTTTTGACAACCTACTCAGCGGGCTTCTGAATTGATATATGATATTTTTTATGTTACATGATATGATATTCTTTGTGTTCAAAATGTATGGATATAATCATGAAACCAAAGTTAAAAAGACTTACTTCCGCAGGCTGATATAACTTGCAGAAGAACTTCAAATGCACGCGTTTAACTTTGGAGTACTTATGCAGGCTGATATAGTGTGCAGAAAAACTTCAAATGCAGGCACGCTACAATAGCAGTGTACTTGTGTTATAGAAGTTCTCAACTTGAAGGGCCCCTTAGATGCTTCACTCGAAATTACATCTCTTAATCAATAGAAGTGCTTTTGGTACAAGTGTGTCAATTAAAATCCAAATGCTTGTTTAGAGAAGCACTCAACCTGTGCTTCTTTAAGAAAACACTCAATATCTGCTACTTTCTAGGAAAAAATTAATATTCATAATCTGCAAACACACAATATTTCTTTGCTAAATATCGTAAGAAGCACTTTTAATTTTTTGAAGCACTTTTAGCCTTTCGGAAAGCACTTAAGCAGAATATTATTGAGACGGACCAAAAAGGAAAAAACACCTTGCGAATATTTTTTAGTTCGTAAAAGCCCAAATGCTCGACCCAATGCCCAAACCCGTTTACACAAAACAGAAAGAGCGAGCGTCACGGCGGCAAACAGCAAGACCAGTATTTGGAAACGAAGAGAAACCCTACGGAGCATTGTCAGTATGCGTTGACTGGCGTTGACTAAAACACATAGACTACCGTCGTCAGAGGCTAGACCTAACATTTTTCACCCGATCCGTTAACCCGATCCGACCTGATCCGTTAAAATAAGTATTCGGATGGGTGATAAACGGGTCGGATGGTTAACGGGTCATTTTGGGTGAACCCGCGAAACCCGTTTAGACCCGTTATTAAGGATTTTTGTGTAATTTCAACTGCCCAACAACTACACTTTCTCCTTTCTTCTTCGAGCTTGCGTCGAGTCGCCGACCTCTCGTATCTCTCAATGGGTTTGGTGCTTCATTGCCATGCAATCCAGTTGGGGTGGGAATCCTACGATTTTGTCAAGCGGAGAGGACGAAGGGAACAAGCCGAGGAATGCTCGAAAACGAAGGATTCCCAGTCGCTCGTGTCGCGGAGAGGAATTTGAGTGGGTCTTCCTGGTCTCAACGCTGTCGACGCTATCGAAAAATCAAGGTAACAGTTTCAGTGATCATCGTTCCGGTTTGTTTTGCTCAAGATTAAAGGAAAGTAGAGATGGATGAAGAGGAGGAGTACAAGTAAATTATTCATTAATTAGTTAATTAATGGCAAATTTCTGCAAATTGTCGGATGATATGGTGGCGCAAATCCTGTCAATGTTGCCACCTAAATCCCCTGATGCGGTTCAAATGCGTCCACGAGTCCTGGCGTGATCTGATTGATAGTCGCTTTGTGGCCAGCCACCTCTCGAATTCGAATAATTCGAGTTCCTCCACCCGTATTACCGTCAGGCATATTGTTGGTGGCGAGGAGGATGAGAAGGAGGACGTTTTGGGTGTCATTTCTTAATTGATAGAGTACACTTTCCTATTGTTTCATTTATTTCATGATCACAACCCAAATTTAGAGCGAGCGAGCCAGCGTTTCTTGTTCATTCAGTGGGGAGGAGGTAGAGGAAGAGTTAGACCAATGGGCAGAGGAAATGGGAGGGTTGTAGGCAAAGGCGATGAAACTCAATTTATTGAACTAAATATGGTAAATACCAATATTAAACTAAACATGGTAAATACTAAAAATATATATATGACAATATTTGGGAATTTCTAATATATTCATTAATCTCCAAAGTGGAATATATATAGGAGTTACAATTGGTATTACATATGTACTTCACCAATGTGGCACAATAAACTACTATTTAAATTCTAACTAATATATAACTCGCAACACTCCCCCTCAAGTTGGTGCAAAGATGTCACGCATGCCCAACTTGTCAAACGAGTTGGAAAACACACTATTAGACACAACATTAGTAAGAGCATCAGCAAATTGATCTTCAGATCTCACAAACGGAAACATAATAATTTCAGCATCCAATTTTTTCTTAATGAAATGTCGATCAATCTCCACATGTTTTGTTCGATTATGTTGCACTGGATTATGAGCAATCCCAATAGCAGCCTTGTTATCACAATGAAGTTTCATAACACCTTAGGGATTAAACCCAAGATCTCTCAACAATTTTTTCAACCACAACAACTCACATACACCATGCGACATACCACGAAACTCAACTTCTGCACTTGACCTAGCCACCACTTTTTGTTTCTTGCTTCTCCAAGTAACCAAATTACCACCCACAAATGTAAAGTAACCAGATGTAGATCGCCGATCAGTGATAGAACCTGCCCAATCTGCATCTGTATACCCTTCGACATTCAAATGACCATCATTGGAGAAAAACAAGCCTCTACCAGGAGCCATCTTCAAGTACCTTAAAATACGGGTAACTGCATCTATATGAGCTTGACTAGGTGAGTGCATAAACTGACTTACCACACTAACTGCAATGTCAGGGCAAGTGTGAGACAAATAAATTAATCTCCCCACAAGCCTCTGATACCGTTCCTTATGAGTAGGAACTTGATCTGGAAATAAGCCCAGACGATGATTCTGCTCAATCGAAGTATCAACAGATTTGCAATCTAACATACCTGTTTCAGCTACCAAATCAAGAACATATTTCCGTTGAGATAGAAAAATACCATGCTTGGATCGTGCAACCTCGATTCCAAGAAAATACTTCAATTCACCCAATTCTTTCATCTCAAACTCAGTAGCTAGGTACTTATGTAGACGTTGTAACTCCTTCTGATCATCACCAGTCACTATCATGTCATCAACATAAATAATTAATGCAGTTAGCTTACCATTTTGTCGCTTTAGAAACAAAGTATGATCTGAATGACTCTGGATATACCCAAACTTCTTCATTGAACTTGTAAACCTCCCAAACCACGCTCTAGGAGATTGTTTCAAACCATACAAAGCCTTTCGTAACCTGCATACAACACATTTTCCAGGAGATGTTCCAATACCAGGTGAGAGATCCATATACACTTTCTCCTTAAGATCACTATGAAGGAAAACATTCTTAACATCAAACTGCAACAGAGGCCAATCCTAGTTTGCTGCTAAGGACAGAAGAACACGCACAATATTAAATTTGGCAACAGGAGCAAATGTCTCTTGATAGTCCACCCCTAGGTTTGAGTATAACCCTTAGCAACTAATCTAGCTTTATATCGGTCAATAGAGCCATCTGCTCTCTGCTTAATAGTAAACACCCATTTACATCCAACGACTTTTTTTTCGTTTGGTAAAGGAACCAAATCCCAGGTAGAATTCTTTTTCAAAGCTTCCATCTCAACTTCCATGGCATTAACCCACTTAGGGTCAGACAAAGCATCTTGCAATTT